CTCAATACTCCAAAGAGTACAAGAGTATAAACTGTTCCTCAATACTCCAAAGAGTACAAGAGTATAAACTGTTCCTCAATACTCCAAAGAGTACAAGAGTATAAACTGTTCCTCAATACTCCAAAGAGTACAAGAGTATAAACTGTTCCTCAATACTCCAAAGAGTACAAGAGTATAAACTGTTCCTCAATACTCCAAAGAGTACAAGAGTATAAACTGTTCCTCAATACTCCAAAGAGTACAAGAGTATAAACTGTTCCTCAATACTCCAAAGAGTACAAGAGTATAAACTGTTCCTCAATACTCCAAAGAGTACAAGAGTATAAACTGTTCCTCAATACTCCAAAGAGTACAAGAGTATAAACTGTTCCTCAATACTCCAAAGAGTACAAGAGTATAAACTGTTCCTCAATACTCCAAAGAGTACAAGAGTATAAACTGTTCCTCAATACTCCAAAGAGTACAAGAGTATAAACTGTTCCTCAATACTCCAAAGAGTACAAGAGTATAAACTGTTCCTCAATACTCCAAAGAGTACAAGAGTATAAACTGTTCCTCAATACTCCAAAGAGTACAAGAGTATAAACTGTTCCTCAATACTCCAAAGAGTACAAGAGTATAAACTGTTCCTCAATACTCCAAAGAGTACAAGAGTATAAACTGTTCCTCAATACTCCAAAGAGTACAAGAGTATAAACTGTTCCTCAATACTCCAAAGAGTACAAGAGTATAAACTGTTCCTCAATACTCCAAAGAGTACAAGAGTATAAACTGTTCCTCAATACTCCAAAGAGTACAAGAGTATAAACTGTTCCTCAATACTCCAAAGAGTACAAGAGTATAAACTGTTCCTCAATACTCCAAAGAGTACAAGAGTATAAACTGTTCCTCAATACTCCAAAGAGTACAAGAGTATAAACTGTTCCTCAATACTCCAAAGAGTACAAGAGTATAAACTGTTCCTCAATACTCCAAAGAGTACAAGAGTATAAACTGTTCCTCAATACTCCAAAGAGTACAAGAGTATAAACTGTTCCTCAATACTCCAAAGAGTACAAGAGTATAAACTGTTCCTCAATACTCCAAAGAGTACAAGAGTATAAACTGTTCCTCAATACTCCAAAGAGTACAAGAGTATAAACTGTTCCTCAATACTCCAAAGAGTACAAGAGTATAAACTGTTCCTCAATACTCCAAAGAGTACAAGAGTATAAACTGTTCCTCAATACTCCAAAGAGTACAAGAGTATAAACTGTTCCTCAATACTCCAAAGAGTACAAGAGTATAAACTGTTCCTCAATACTCCAAAGAGTACAAGAGTATAAACTGTTCCTCAATACTCCAAAGAGTACAAGAGTATAAACTGTTCCTCAATACTCCAAAGAGTACAAGAGTATAAACTGTTCCTCAATACTCCAAAGAGTACAAGAGTATAAACTGTTCCTCAATACTCCAAAGAGTACAAGAGTATAAACTGTTCCTCAATACTCCAAAGAGTACAAGAGTATAAACTGTTCCTCAATACTCCAAAGAGTACAAGAGTATAAACTGTTCCTCAATACTCCAAAGAGTACAAGAGTATAAACTGTTCCTCAATACTCCAAAGAGTACAAGAGTATAAACTGTTCCTCAATACTCCAAAGAGTACAAGAGTATAAACTGTTCCTCAATACTCCAAAGAGTACAAGAGTATAAACTGTTCCTCAATACTCCAAAGAGTACAAGAGTATAAACTGTTCCTCAATACTCCAAAGAGTACAAGAGTATAAACTGTTCCTCAATACTCCAAAGAGTACAAGAGTATAAACTGTTCCTCAATACTCCAAAGAGTACAAGAGTATAAACTGTTCCTCAATACTCCAAAGAGTACAAGAGTATAAACTGTTCCTCAATACTCCAAAGAGTACAAGAGTATAAACTGTTCCTCAATACTCCAAAGAGTACAAGAGTATAAACTGTTCCTCAATACTCCAAAGAGTACAAGAGTATAAACTGTTCCTCAATACTCCAAAGAGTACAAGAGTATAAACTGTTCCTCAATACTCCAAAGAGTACAAGAGTATAAACTGTTCCTCAATACTCCAAAGAGTACAAGAGTATAAACTGTTCCTCAATACTCCAAAGAGTACAAGAGTATAAACTGTTCCTCAATACTCCAAAGAGTACAAGAGTATAAACTGTTCCTCAATACTCCAAAGAGTACAAGAGTATAAACTGTTCCTCAATACTCCAAAGAGTACAAGAGTATAAACTGTTCCTCAATACTCCAAAGAGTACAAGAGTATAAACTGTTCCTCAATACTCCAAAGAGTACAAGAGTATAAACTGTTCCTCAATACTCCAAAGAGTACAAGAGTATAAACTGTTCCTCAATACTCCAAAGAGTACAAGAGTATAAACTGTTCCTCAATACTCCAAAGAGTACAAGAGTATAAACTGTTCCTCAATACTCCAAAGAGTACAAGAGTATAAACTGTTCCTCAATACTCCAAAGAGTACAAGAGTATAAACTGTTCCTCAATACTCCAAAGAGTACAAGAGTATAAACTGTTCCTCAATACTCCAAAGAGTACAAGAGTATAAACTGTTCCTCAATACTCCAAAGAGTACAAGAGTATAAACTGTTCCTCAATACTCCAAAGAGTACAAGAGTATAAACTGTTCCTCAATACTCCAAAGAGTACAAGAGTATAAACTGTTCCTCAATACTCCAAAGAGTACAAGAGTATAAACTGTTCCTCAATACTCCAAAGAGTACAAGAGTATAAACTGTTCCTCAATACTCCAAAGAGTACAAGAGTATAAACTGTTCCTCAATACTCCAAAGAGTACAAGAGTATAAACTGTTCCTCAATACTCCAAAGAGTACAAGAGTATAAACTGTTCCTCAATACTCCAAAGAGTACAAGAGTATAAACTGTTCCTCAATACTCCAAAGAGTACAAGAGTATAAACTGTTCCTCAATACTCCAAAGAGTACAAGAGTATAAACTGTTCCTCAATACTCCAAAGAGTACAAGAGTATAAACTGTTCCTCAATACTCCAAAGAGTACAAGAGTATAAACTGTTCCTCAATACTCCAAAGAGTACAAGAGTATAAACTGTTCCTCAATACTCCAAAGAGTACAAGAGTATAAACTGTTCCTCAATACTCCAAAGAGTACAAGAGTATAAACTGTTCCTCAATACTCCAAAGAGTACAAGAGTATAAACTGTTCCTCAATACTCCAAAGAGTACAAGAGTATAAACTGTTCCTCAATACTCCAAAGAGTACAAGAGTATAAACTGTTCCTCAATACTCCAAAGAGTACAAGAGTATAAACTGTTCCTCAATACTCCAAAGAGTACAAGAGTATAAACTGTTCCTCAATACTCCAAAGAGTACAAGAGTATAAACTGTTCCTCAATACTCCAAAGAGTACAAGAGTATAAACTGTTCCTCAATACTCCAAAGAGTACAAGAGTATAAACTGTTCCTCAATACTCCAAAGAGTACAAGAGTATAAACTGTTCCTCAATACTCCAAAGAGTACAAGAGTATAAACTGTTCCTCAATACTCCAAAGAGTACAAGAGTATAAACTGTTCCTCAATACTCCAAAGAGTACAAGAGTATAAACTGTTCCTCAATACTCCAAAGAGTACAAGAGTATAAACTGTTCCTCAATACTCCAAAGAGTACAAGAGTATAAACTGTTCCTCAATACTCCAAAGAGTACAAGAGTATAAACTGTTCCTCAATACTCCAAAGAGTACAAGAGTATAAACTGTTCCTCAATACTCCAAAGAGTACAAGAGTATAAACTGTTCCTCAATACTCCAAAGAGTACAAGAGTATAAACTGTTCCTCAATACTCCAAAGAGTACAAGAGTATAAACTGTTCCTCAATACTCCAAAGAGTACAAGAGTATAAACTGTTCCTCAATACTCCAAAGAGTACAAGAGTATAAACTGTTCCTCAATACTCCAAAGAGTACAAGAGTATAAACTGTTCCTCAATACTCCAAAGAGTACAAGAGTATAAACTGTTCCTCAATACTCCAAAGAGTACAAGAGTATAAACTGTTCCTCAATACTCCAAAGAGTACAAGAGTATAAACTGTTCCTCAATACTCCAAAGAGTACAAGAGTATAAACTGTTCCTCAATACTCCAAAGAGTACAAGAGTATAAACTGTTCCTCAATACTCCAAAGAGTACAAGAGTATAAACTGTTCCTCAATACTCCAAAGAGTACAAGAGTATAAACTGTTCCTCAATACTCCAAAGAGTACAAGAGTATAAACTGTTCGGAGAAGATGAACAGGGTCACCGAGTTAAGAACAAAGAGTCTTCATTAAAAATCTTTCGAAAAAGAAGAGGCAAAAAGTCGGATGACTTTTGATTTGACCCTCAGCGGTCTATTTATAAACAGCTATGTGCTGTCAAATCGGGGCGAGATTCTAGGCCCAGAATCCCGCCAAACGCGGCCTGTGCGTCTGCGTTGCTTGAACTTCCGAACGCAGAGTTCAACCCTGCGTTTTAATGTTTTAGCACAAAGAAATTTACTTGTGCGTCTGCATTATTTGAGCTCCTGAACGTAGAATTCAACTCTGCGTTTCAATTCGATAACACAGGAAATCTACCTGTGCGTTCTAACTCAACCAAACGAATTCCTCTATGTTTAAAGCCAAGACATGGTTCCAAATAAATAGAGGGAGGCTGATGTCAGCTGTCAAGGTGACTAAGGCCGAGAAGAAACAGACAACTCCACTGTGGAGTCTATTGGATGGGTACAGGCAGATTATAATCAGCAACACGAAAGCCGATTCGTCCAAGCGCGCAAACCATTCTTCTAAGTGGCTTAACATTCCAACAAAGAGTAAGTTGAGCTGATCAAGAAAAGAAATAGAGTAAGAATCTTCTGAGGCTGCCCTCCTAACCACATTTAGGATAAAGCCCCTCCCATGTGGGCTTGCGATTCTCCCTATCTATGCCAACGGATCTGTCTTAAGCCCAGAATTACTCGATCTCACGAAAGACAACCTCGCTGACAAGTTTGCAGATGATGTTTCTATGGTTGCTTCGCTATCTTTCACTCTCTCTTACCCAACTCTTGCAGCTGCGCTTCACATGTTCGTCAATGCCTACAAGAACGTCCTTGCTGTTGCTGTTATCTCTGTTGTATCTGTTGAGAACGCTACTGCTCTTGCCTCTAAGGAAAAAGGGAAAAAGGATGAGCCTGTCGGCGAGTCAGACGATGACTTGGGCTTTAGTTTGTTTGACTAAGTTCGTTGTTATCAAGACTCAAAAGCTATCTTGTTTGGTTCGAGGAAACAGGATTTCAGCATTCCAACAACCAGGTTCGCAATATCCTCAAATCAGACGAAGTGAACAATCAACTAAATTTTTAGGATCCAAAATATTCCGAAAATTCGTCCCAGTCAACTGCGAACTTTCGAAAACTTTGGAGGGGGTTCTGTAGGCTGTCTAAAAATCACAATGGATAGCTAATCCCTATTAAGCCCCGACAATGAAAGTTATAATCAGACGACTTTCTAATCATTGCATCCGCAACTCTACAATCGCTACAAACATGATCTCATCTCTAAGATGATTGATCTTGATGGCTGCGACAACAGCATGACTAATATTATATTAGCAACTATTAGAGATGCTGATGAGTAGTGTAATGATTTCAAAAATAAAAGGTTGGACTTAGTTGGTGAGTTGCTTGGTAGAGAGTTGTGGGTAAATATTCGTCTAAAAATCACTATGGATGATTGATTCCCGACAAGTTCCAACAACGAAAGCTACAATCAAATAGCTTTCATGCCGACAAATGAAGGTTGCAAATAGAGGACTTTTCACACAGATCGAAAGCTACAATCAAATAGCTTTCATGCCGACAAATGAAGGTTGCAAATAGAGGACTTTTCACACAGATCGAGAAGAGTTACAATTCAACGACGCTTCCGACAGCTGATGAAAATTCTATTCAGTTGCCTTCACAATCAACAGTGAGAGTTACAATCTGACGACTCTCATATCCTATAACAGGCAAAGATCAATAAGCAGTAGCCTTTGTAATGTCATAATGGACGAGGTTACAAGTCAACAACCTCTCTTAAACGCAAGGTCCACATCTGCGTTTCCCAAATGCAAAACGCAGACGAACTATGCATTCCCCAACAGATGTCCAACTCTGCAACGCAGAGTTAAAATACAAAATGCACGAACTGTGCGTTCTTCAGCAAACACTCAACACTGCGTCCCAAACTCAGGACGCATAGTTGAGACTCAATACACGAGCGGCATGTGCGTCTCAAATCTCTAACAGAGATTTAACTCTGTGTCTCAAGCCTTGGACGCAGAGTTAAGGCCTAAAACGCCAACTGGGGCATTTTGACTTGTTCAAACACAAGCTGAACGGCCTCAAAACCATTATCCCACGTTCTGAGGGATTTTTTCCCACTTAGGAGCGGATTTAGGGGTTGGTTACACCCCTAATCCTCCTATAAATAATCGACTTACTCAACTGAGTAAGGGGTTGACGTGTGCTGGCATCAAAACCGCATAAGGTTAACAAGTCTTGGAAACTTAACCGCACGAAGGAGGAGACCTCTCTGAAAATCAACAAACTACCTATTAGTTAGTCCATCAAATCAAAGGGGATCCCTTCATCAGCGACAAATCAACTTGGCTATTAACTGAATCTTCGGTTCTAACAACTCTGTTACAGAGTTTCAACTCGCTTTGAGTTCTGAAACTCATTTAAGAGTTCGTAATTATGCTTGCAACGCAAGTTAATTACATCAAACCAGTTATTCGGTTCTCAACAACTCTTTTCAGAGTTTTCAACCCGTTCTGAGTTCATTAGACTCGTTAAGAGTTCTAAACCGAATTCATCACACAAGTCAATTATTCCTGTGAGATAGGATGGTCAGATGGTCAACGAGAAGCAAACTCGACGCGAGCATTCGATGGAGGCATCTCATCGCCACCGTGAAGAACCCAGAAGAGAAGCAAACTCGACGCGAGCATTCGATGGAGGCATCTCATCGCCACCGTGAAGAACCCAGAATTAAACAAAGGGGAGAATCCAGATCATTCTCCTCTCTTTTGTAATCAGGAAATCTAATTGTAATTGAGATTAAACGAATACAAATCAATTTTCCTTTATTTCTTTTTACTGCAAATTTTCCACAAACAAAAGATGGCGACTCTGCTGGGGACTAGCTTCTCTGACGAGGAAGTGGTGGTGCAATCTGACGTTCACCTCACTAGGACCACCATCGAAACTCTCGTCGTAGAGTTCGACCAAGCTAAGTACGAGGAGGCTCTCTCCTCTGGATCGCTTAGCCCTAAAGCTAGGCGTGATACCCACAAGATCTCTAAGGAGCTCGTAATTACTACTGAGATGCCAAAGAAAGCCCTCTCCTTTGGCCATGACCTTAAACTTGCTCTGCGAGTTGAAGACTCCTCACCCGTATCACTACGGCACATAATAGGTCAAAAAAGACCTATGTCGGAGGAAAACCCAACCAACGCCGACGACACTGCAGCCAAGGCATTGAAACAAGCTAAGAAAAACGCCGCTCGACGAAGGAGAAGATCCATGCGGTGAGCATATTTGCGGAATAGCCGAGCTACGGCCCAACGCAAGAACTGCGTTTCTAAAAATCTGCCCGAACTCTGCATTTCTGCTCCAGAGCGCACACTTCGTGGCAATGAACCCGACTATGAGCCTCGGGTTATCCAGCTCAAACGCAACCCTCAGTGGCGCGTTGTTCAATCCAGACGCACACCTCAAGAGTGCGTCCCAAAACGTGACCTCCAAAGGCAGATTCAATCATCTGAACGCACGCCACAGCCGTGCGTTCAGTCAGAACACGACCCTCAATGGTCTGTTCAAACAGCCAAACGCACACCACAAGGGTGCGTTCGTCCAGAACACGACCCCCAGAGGTCTATTCAATCATCCAAACGCACACCGCAGGTGTGCGTTCAATCAAAACCCGACCCTCAGAGGTCTGGTTCATCAACCAAACACACATCACAAGTGTGCGTTCAAACAAAGAACGACCCTCAGGGGTCTGTTTCATCATCAAAACGCACACCTCAAGTGTGCGTTCAACCAAAACAAGACCCATAGGGGTCGTTTCAACATCAAAACGCACACCATAAGTGTGCGTTCAATCAGGACAAGATCCACAAGGATCTGTTCCATCAGTCAAACACAGGCCTCAACCTCGTATTTATAAACCTAAACGGGACCCTCGTGTTTCGTCTCAAGAACACGACATGGTCCGTAAGATTCAAGAGGGACAGCATGGATTTAAGGTCCATGTTCGACCCATCCAAGGGCAGGGGGTTCCATCCCCACCTTCACGAGAACTTTCCTAGGTCTCCGACTTGTGTGAATTACTATCAAGAGGAAGGCCAACACAGCAAGTGGCTCATTCATGCCAGTGTGAACGGTTCATTTCCGCTGTCCTCTCCGAATGCAGCTGTTGTTCACCTACGCCTAGACAGTCGGTGTTCAATAGATTAACGAATGTCGTTAGACCTCCCAAACGACAATGTCGCCAGAAGAAGACCTCTGAAATCAACTATCCTGAGGTTACTATCAACATGATCGGCAGAGGAAAAGCCTCGCATACCGATTCTGATGAGTCACAAAGAAGTCATTCCCCAACTGTTAGGGAAATTTGTGACCAGTTCGAAGGAGTATACGGCATACTCGGACTCGGACAGGAGCTATTTGCCCGGTTAACTATCAAAAGTTAGCCAAAGGGATTACAACAAGTGATGAACATTCGGCAATAGCCGAATCTTAATTTTCGAGCTCAGTCGGAGCACAAGAGGTATCCGTTTACATGGCGGGAAACCCTGAGGACATAGCCAAAAGAGTTGACGAACATCACGTCATACTCTAGGCGCAGCAAGAAACCCTTCTCCAAATGAAGAACATGTTGGCCCAGCTCCTGGCAGAAAAAGGCCAAAAACTTGAGTCTTCCCGGAAGACAACGTCAAAGGGAAAGCAAAAAGCATACGAACATTCAGATCGTGAGACTCACAACCTGGAATCCTCTTCTAAAGGTGAGAAGGAGATGGAAAAAGAACTACATCCTCAGTCCACTAAAATGGATGAACTGGAAGCTCGCCTCAATGCAATCGCAAACAGAAGTGAGCTCCGCGAAGAAGGAGTGGTGAGGCCTTACCCTGCTGAGTGGGATACAGCTCCATATCAACAGAAGTGAGCTCCGCGAAGAAGGAGTGGTGAGGCCTTACCCTGCTGAGTGGGATACAGCTCCATATCCACCGAAGTTCAAAGCTCCAACATTGAGTGGTGAGGCCTTACCCTGCTGAGTGGGATACAGCTCCATATCCACCGAAGTTCAAAGCTCCAACATTGCAACCTTTCGATGGCACAGGATCACCAAATCAGTATATCTACTACTTCAAGTCTCAGACTGGAGATGTAGTGGCAAACGACGCCATTCTGACCTGGCTATTCATCGGTACCCTCAAAGGTGTCGCCTTTGAGTGGTTTATGAAACTACCTGCTGGATCTATTCAGAAATGGGTAGATTTGGAAAGGCTTTTCTTGGCCAGATTCTTTGAAGACGACACAGAGGTCTCAGTCCCGACTCTTCTCGCCACTAAGCAGAAGAAGGGAGAATCTATCAAGACCTATGTTGAGAGATTCCGCAGCATGGCATTGCAATGCCCTTCAGGTATGACCCAATCAACCTTGGTTGAAACTTGCAGGCACAACTTGCAGACCCAGCTCCTTGCTCAGATGGGGGTAGCAGAATGTCACTCCTAGAGACAACTGGTATCGCAAGGAGAACAAGCCGAAGAGATTATCGCTCGGGTGAAAGCCGAAGAAGCTGCACAGCCCAAACCGCAACAGCAACGCAATCAAAACAACGCCCAGTGGTCTAAAGGAAAAGAGACCTTAGCAGCTGACTACACGCAAGTACCACCGCCCACGAAGCAAGGCAAAGCACAAAATAAGCAAAAAGTGCCCAAACAGTATTCCTTCAAGGAGGAGCATGTGGACACCTTATTCCAACTACTGCGGAAGAACAACAAGTTACAACTTCCTGAAATTAGGAAGCCAGAAGAGACAGGGAATGTAGATGACCCTAATTACTGCCGCTATCACAGGTTCCTAGGGCATCCTACCAGAAGATGTTACATCTTTAGATGACCCTAATTACTGCCGCTATCACAGGTTCCTAGGGCATCCTACCAGAAGATGTTACATCTTTAAGAACATT